CTGATTCGCGTCATCGTGTTACCTATGTGAAATCAAAACTTCATGTCACTAACTAACCTTTTTGAACTCTTTTTTGTTTGATACTTCAAACTGTCAGCTGCAAATCTTATACAGTTCGGTTTTATTTCAATGTAGCGCACATTTGCAGAAAAATACAGAACAAGCACGATATCCGTTACTTTTTCTTCCTTTTCTGTCATCAGAGTTCGCTATATACGAATAAACAAAGAAAGATAGCACTTGATTTAAATGAAATGAATGCTGAAAATTTAAGTGCCTGGGAATGACAATCGACTAGTTTAATGATATCGAAAATAATTTAAACGATTTTTAGCCTATTTTGAATTGGAAATGGCCATACTTCATGACAAGAATTTGGAACAAGAAGTTAAAATTCTGAAAAAATTAATTGATTACAATCGTTAATCATCTTTAGTTTTTCTTCAAATGTATCTTTTTTTTTTTTTGAAAATTTGATGTGACATTTCGAGACTAAATAAAACTGTTTTAAATAATACCAAAAGAAAAAATGTCTTTACAAATCTTCCACCGTCTTCCAATATTCATCCGAACTAATATCTTCATGAGCCCAATTTTTCTTATCAGCAGGAAATAAAGCATCCATTATCATTTGTGCAATTTTCAAATAAGGCAATTTATCTTTATCTTGTGCACTATCAAATTTTTCTGCATAGATCAATGCTCGTATTGTCTTTAGTACATGTTCATCTGGATGTGTCAAACATTTATCAATAAGAGGTAACCATGGATTTTGTGCATCTGAATACGAATGTTCTTTTGATACTTGATATTCATTGCATAAATAATTTAAATTTAATTTTGGTCGTCCACGTGCAACATAGTAAAGAAGATCAACTGCAAATTTGGCTCTCATCAATTTTAATTGATTTTCTTTGTTTTTTAATGAATGAACCAATATGTTTAAGAATAGACTACTTGTTGTTGCATGCATTAGGTAGAAGTCGAGACGAGGAGATTTTTTTGGTCGTATAACAGCTGCATTCACTAAGATACTAGCTCGTCTAGCATCATCTAAATCAGGTTTCCACATTTGAGCATATTCTGCAATTAATGGACCACCACCTCTTTCCAATAATTTATTCGTCTTCGGTCTTTCATCTGTATAAAGAACTTTATCGTCAAAACGTTGATCGTTGACAATCAATTCAATAATGTCTAAGGCTGTTTTATCACCATCTCTAGTCTGATTATAATTCAAATGTTCTAAAAGATCTTTAACACTAACTCGATCAATTGCTGCCATTGCTAAACCTTCAATGGCCATTACTTTCGATTGAAATTCTAAGGCATATCCAAGATGAATAAATGCATGATAAGCACCACCTAATATGAGAGCAAGATAATCTTTATTGAATAAATAATCTTCAATTAAATCTTCAATTTTTCCTTGATATTTTTCATTGTTCAATTCTTTTGTAAAGAATTCTAAATAATCATGATAGTAATTATCATCACCTAAACATTTGTTTACGTCGAAATCTTGCTTTTTATGAAGTGGAACTATAGGCTGTTGAATTTTCTTCTGTTTTTCATAGATATGTTCCAATGTATGAGATGAAGCACCAAGACCTAATGCAGCTAAAAGATTATGTGTAGTATGATTGTGAAAACCATTTTGAATATTGAAGAAAATATGATAATTCTCGTGATTCTGTTGAAGAAGATGAGAACAAGTTTCAATTGTTTCAGGAGTTATACCAGGTAACAGATAGATGTCAGGATTTTTGATAAATTCATTAGATGACAGAGTATACATATTTGCTCTGCACAAAAAAAAAATTGTTCTTTAAAAAGTTGATACAAGTGTTTCAATAAAAAAGAAAGAATTTACAGTGCCGACTATATATATGTATACAAATGAGTGGTACTATCATCATGATGACAATGCATATATTGTCTCTTCTTCGTATTTCTTTTTATTAGCTACTTATTTTAACCGTTCGTACTTTTCTGCCGTTCGTAAGTACAGGTCATCAAGTATTTATTTTTATCTTTTCTTCGTTCTGTTCTCTTTCTCAACATACGTACTTCTTTATCTTTTTATACAAACAAGATAACTATTGGACCTAAGTGAAATTATATTAAAAAAAAATCGAAACAAAGAAATCTAATTTTTGCTTGAAAATCTACTTAAACTTGACTAAATCTTGCATTCAAGTGTACGAATTAATGTTGAACTTTAATTGTATGATGGCAATCATTATGTTTTCTTTTTGTTGAAAATGAAGAACTAGTTGCATTCAAATCTTGATCTCATCTTGATTATATTCATTTTTTGAAATATCATTCTAGTCGAATTTTTATCATAAGATGTTACAAAAATTGACAACAAGAACAAATGACACTTAGAAGTGAATCAGCTATTGAACCGATTTTAGAAACTATTTTGTCAACAAATCAAAGACATTCTACGTGATGATTATACTATAGGGTGTGGATGTGTAAGTGAAATAATAATCTACGCCCGCAGCCACATCTACATCCTTATCAGTTTTGCCAAGCTTATACAAAGGTTTAAAACGATTATATACTTTTTCATATGTTCAGAAAAGTCATTAGTTCTCCATCTTCTTCACCAGTTAACAATAACTTCGCAGCTTATGTTTCTTGGCTGTTCAGTTGAACTTCCTACACTTGAGATACTCATCAAATTGTAAATAAAATTTCACTTTCAGCTTCATTGAATGTACTCAGTGGCAAAGTATTTGTTTAGAGCAATTTATTAGAGTGTGGGTGTGGGTGTAGATGTAGGATAAGGAAAGAACCACAATAAATCACACACCACAGCCACATCCTCAAACATCGATGTAATTCAATTGAAAGAAACTGCATCTACTTCTCCACTTCATATGGATGTTCCACGTGATTTACTTTCAATTCAAAATGCTTTTTCGGAGAGTCTTCATGATTTGAACTTTAAATGAATAATTGTTCATTTTCAATCTTGCGCATGGATTAACTTAAGTCATCAGCAGTTAATCGATCAAAATATGAAGAATATAGCCCAACAAGCAATTATTGACAGACAATGCATTGAACTCGATCTAGAAACTAACAATATCACATCATCAGGCGTTTCAATTCTCGACCATGTATTGTACAATAGCACAAGTATAAAGAGACTGTATCTTTCCGACAATGAAATCGCTGATGAAAGTGTAGAAAAATTGGCGCTGTCACTTGAAAACTCGACTCTCATTGTATAGGGTGTTTCAAAAAATAGAATTACAAATGTTGGTGCGCAGCACCTGGGTGATATGTTTAAGAAAAATCGATATTTGACTGTGCTAGGACTGAAGGACAGCGAAATAAGTGATTGATGAGTCGAACCACTAGCCAATGGGCTTAAATACAACAACAAATTTCAACGATTGTTACTTGCTGAGAACAAGATGATTAGTGACTTGAGTGTCAATACACTAGTCGATATACTCCAGCGTAATCGATCACTGAATAAACTGGACTTACGTGCTTGCGAGCTGTCAAATTCGACAAAAGTGAAACTTCAAACAGTGATGAAAACAAAAAGAATTTTTAACTATTGTATTAGATCAGCCTATTTTGATTCGTTCATTTCTTCTATCATTATACTTACCGAACAAAACATTTCATAATTCCTTAATAAAACTTTTGAAAGTCTATTTAATGTAAAATTGAATTCTGCATTAAACTCTTCACTTTTCTTGCTGGCATCAAGAATATGAGGAAAATGATTTTGAATTTGAGAAAACGAGCATTCTTACTAGCGTAGATAAAATGAACGAAGAAGGGCAAAAATGTGCTTCAACAATGCTATTTCTGTTTGAAAAATTTGATAAATCTATGACGTCTGGTAGAATTGGACTGATTACTCACGCTTAAAAAAGGTTTATTTCCATATAGTTATGGTATGATAATAGCAATGGATACCTCTATAAAATTAGTCGAGCTCCTGTTGTGGAGGACACAAAATAAATACAAAGTTTGCCATCAATCTATAAAAAACTAGTAGTTAAAGTGATTCCATTTTGAAATAGTTGGTTATCTTGATTTGCTTCGATATAAAAGAAGAAGGTCATAGAAATCAATGAAACATTAGTATTTCATAGTCGGATAATATGACATTCTTCTATCATCGGGAATTTTGGTTGCTGCGGACATTAAAGCAGAAACAGGAACCACACTGTTAAATAACTCTAGAGGTCTCTACTTTGATTCATCAACGAACAGTCTTCTCATTGCAAATAATTACACTCACAATATTGTCCGTTGGGTATTAGGGGCTAATACTTGGATACTAGTCACTACTAGTAGTAACGGGTTGATTGGTACTTCATCGACACTACTAAGCTATCCCACAGATGTGATACTAGATTTGAGGGTAACATACATATGTCTGACGAGGGCAATCATTGCATACAATTTTTATTAGCTTTTCAATCAAATAGCACAACGATTGCTAGTGTTATCAGCACATCTGACAGTGCCTCTCAGCTACTCTATACTACTTCTTCAGGCTGTTGACAGTAGATTTAATATGTGTGTAACTGACTACGATAATTATCGAGTAAAGTTTCTACACTACTGAAGAAAAATTCCATGTATATGCATGGAAAAATACGAACTTCAGAAGTGGTGTTTAAACTTTTTCTCTTTCTACATTTATATTTTCATTAATTGCTAGTGATAAGAAGCAAGTTGTTACTTTAGTTTTATTTTCTTAACAAATATAATAAATTTGATGATGCTAGCACCTTTCTTAGAGCGAATATCTGAAGCGTTCTTCGATAAAATTTTCAGAACTAGTTTTATCTCATCCGGAAGTGGGGAAGCTTCATAAGTAGACAAACATCAGAGTAGCAGAAATACAACCGAATTTTCAGGAAATATTGATGATTTTATTTCAATTATCAATCATATTGATTTCTCATATATTATGAAAGATTTTGGATTTGAAGTTGGAGGACGAAGCAGTCCATTTAACAAATGGTTTCAAGATCGGCCAGTGTTAACTCCAGACATTCGCTTGGAAATTCGGTACCGTGACGAATACGAGCCGGTAGATCGGAACCACGCAATAAGCCAAGGTATTTCATGAGTCGCATTTCTTCAAGCCGCTTGGATGGAATCTTCAAATGAAATCTCTCGATATGTTTTTCGAAGCCTGATACAGCTCTCTTGGCTGTTACGCAGTGTTGAAATGAGCATTCAGCACCGTTGATATCCGCTAAGAAAAAAAATAAAAAATGTATATTTGAGTTGTAGCTGTAGCTTAGACTGCAGAGCAGGGTTCAAGATCGAGTCAAATCAAGCTCGGATCAGTTTGGTTTTTAGCAACACATGGTGGACACGAATTGATGATCAAAATTTGATTAAAACTTAGATATATATGCTCATATAATTGAAAAAGATGAGATAAGACTATCTGAAAGAAGTGAAGCTATTTTTTCTAATTCTCAATTTCCAACTTCCTATTATTAACAGAGCTCATTCTTATCCTCAAATTCTCATTCATGTGTATAGTTTTTGTTTGAAAGTTAATTCGAATTTAGCCAAAAATTCACACTCAGTCTGGATATAAACTACATACAAGTTTTCTTGCGAATTTCGTATTGAAACTTATCAAAATACATTCGCGAAATGCATGATGACTTGCATGAATGAGGTTCACATTGCTTTCGTTTCAATTTTAAAGAATCTAAATGCTTTCAAAAATCAGTCTATTCTGTTCTTTGTAAAGTTTTATTACTCACAGACAAGAAGAAAAAGCCAACAAGCGAGACAAACAAAAATCACTTGAACATGCATCTTGGAGTATTTTGGAACCAAAATCAAATTGTATTGATGGAATGAAGAGCTAGAAATAAAAAATACTGCCAAAGAGTGTCTTATGTGAATCTTTCAAGATGTATATATATATATATACGCGCAAATATGATTGAAATAGCACCTATTTTCATTTGATCTTTGTTTCTTGTTCTTCTGTGATTTATATAATGCAATAACCTTCTCCAAGGCCTAGATGCCAATGTCATTCACTCGCTTTTTTACATTCTAATTTGATTGAGCAGATGTGCCAGATCACATGCAAGGACATCACCGGTTAAGACTGGAAATCGACCTTATCTTGAATATCGAAATAAATATGCTAGAAATAGTATCCATATTGATCTGCATACGCCCGTATAGGGTCTGGGTGTGAGTGTGGATGGGTGTCGGTATGGGTGTGGGTTGAAGGAAAAGAACACTCACCTTCACCCACACCCACACACGCCCTTCTATCGTTAATGCCTACAATCGCTATGATTTCGACTTTCGTTACATGCCATAGCACGTATTGTTGATCCTAAAAATGTTATTTTAGGTACACTTTCTGATAAAAAGGAAACACACAGTCAAATTCGATTATTTCCTTTCCACTTTTGTATCGATCAATTCATTCAACTATGTTCATTGACTCTCATTAATGTAAAAGATGAATATTTGAATGAATTTCAAAAACATATCATGCCATTTTCCCTGACGACATCAAGATCACAGTAGCATTGTTATCATCTATCATGTTACACAATGATCTTCGTAAATTCGTATTAAATAAATTTGATAAGATTCTCAATGGAATACAATGACCAATTTTATGTGGACTGGAACATGTGATAATATATTCTGAGTGCCATTGAAATACATCTTATTCTACTCTTGATCATTTTCCTCATCTGCGAACATTGGTACTAAAAAAAAATTAGTCATCTATAAGACTATTGTTATAGATTCTGATATTACACAATCCAGTCACTTAACTTCGCTTTCATTAAATGGCAATTCTAATATAACAATTAACAATGTTGAATCATTCCTTTCGCGTTTACCTAGGCTAACGCATCTTCGATTGATTTGCCAGGTCCCTTTAAATGATCTTTTATTATTTGACAGTTCTCAATGGGAAAATTTCATTCAAACGAAATTGCCTCTACTTAACAAGTTCATAGTCTGGTTTACTCGTTGTGCACCTATTATACAGATTGTACTGCTGTAGAGTCACTGATTTGAGCAAGTCGAACATTTATCAAATGTCACATTTCGATCTCCTGACGCATATGATTTTGCAAATAAGATCATTGGATGGCTCTCACGAATAGAAAGAGATGTTGCATATGAGGTAAACCATTACTCATTATTCGATTATGACGACGATAACCCGAGATCAGTCTTGCCTTTATGCAGATCTGTACTCCACGTCCTGCTTCATATTTTGTTAATCTATATATTACGATTTATTAACTAGGAAATTTTAATTTAAATAAATATAAACAATTTACAAATATCTGATCGATTCGATGTAATTTTAATTTAAAAAGATGCTTTTCTTTTCATTTCATTATACTCCATTAAATTACGTAGTCTATAGTCAGCTGCTATTGATCGAAGACGCTCAAAATTTAAATTAAAAAGGGTGTACGTGGAGTTGCCAGCATCGTTGTGAATATGAGACAAATGCTCATGTCCTTCCTATGCCAGAAAAACGTATCGTGACTAACAGCCATAGCAAGCTTTGTATGTAATAAGTTCTCAATTTATCTATATATATTGTTGTTAAATCTTTTTCTTCTCTAAAATCTATGTCGAGTCCCATGGTGAATCTTTCCTTATTCTTTGTTCTGCGGCCATAATACCTTGGATAATTCTAGCCTACAAACGAATAAGAAAGAATCTCCTACGACTTGTATGACTTGATGTCAATCATTAAGACAGTCTCTCCGTTTGATATTTTACAACGTGATGTAAGTTGAGTATTTATCGTCACGACATTCATCCGCTGATAGAATCATGTTGAAGAGTTCATTAAAGTCTGAGGTATTTCGAACATGTTTATTGTAAATTATAGAACTTCGAAAGATTTGTCTCGCCAAAGAGCAATTTATCATCTATCGTCTATTAAATATGAAAGAGAAAAGGTTTTATATTGATTCGTTGTCTCTTATAATAGTTTGAAACAATTCTTTGCCAAACAGCATAGTGTATGATGAAGAATATGAAATCAAAAATTCTGTATATGTCGAACAACAAATCTATGTGAAAAAGAAATTTATTCAAAATTTCTATTTTACCGACTGCTGTGAAATGATTCTCGATATAAGACTTCAAAAATATTAAATTGTTTTCTAGAAATTCTCAACTTTATTATTGATGATAGAAGTCATAGAAATTTTTTTAACTTGTTTTCAGAAATAGTACACATGAAAATTGTGTAGTTAATTATTTGATCATTCTCTCATAACGACGAATAACTTTTAGCTTTCTACTTATCATTTCTGTGTTCTATCTTTTGTCTCATCTTCGTAATGTACAGAAATAATAAAACCTAAAGATAAGTTACATGAACAAAGTTATAGTGGAATAATATGAATGAAATAATTTGATGAGATTATTATTCATCAACGACGTGTAAGATTGTTTGTTTCATTTCAAAA